CGCGAAATAGATTCGGCGTGAAACCTGAACCCGCGAAGTTCAAGATGCCGCAGGGAACCGCAGCCGGCGAGAGCTGCAAGCACAGAGCTGCCGATAGTTGGTCCGGATACATCGTTAGAGGTCAACGTGAGGGTCAAGTCCTCGATCTTGAGAGTGCCACTGCTTCTGTTGAAAGCCTGGAAGAGTATCTGTGCCTCCCACTGCTCTATACTCCTTAACGACAACCTCCTCACAGCTCCGATATTGACGAAGACGCAATCCAAGGCTTCACGTTCCGATGGGTGTCCGGCGATGGATTGTCCGCCCGCTATAAGTCTATTTTCGACGTCAATTCCGGCACCCTTTGACCGCCTCAGCAACTCCTCCGTCCATTGCAAATATCCTAAAGGGACACGCGTCCAGAGAGTGGCTGTCTCGATAGCGATGGTCCTCCAACGGTGACAGACTTGGGTGATTGGCACCATGTATTTGACGAGCAGTTCCTCCCGTGTGTGGCCTTCAAGGTCGGCAGGGAATTGAAAGATATAGGATAGGATGTCGATGGGAAGCATCGCGGCTGGTGTATAGGTATTTCGGCGTGCTTTGAGCTGCTGTATGTCCGCTTCGGCTTTGAGTATTTGCTCGTCTATGACTTCCCGGCTGTCCAAAGCCATCATGGAATCATAAATGGCTTCAGAAGGCTATTGACTTGCTTCAAGTTGAAGAACCAAGCTTGCTGCGTGACACGTAACATATACCCTCAACGGCGGCGAACGCCGCGCTTCAGAACAAGACCACCATTTCGCCGAAATGTACCAATTCACAACGACGTCATTCCAGCCCCCGCCCATCAAGGCCACCAGCCCATAAAACCTCAACCTGAAGCCAGTTAATGTCCCCCAAATGCCCCCAACAATGTTTGCCATCCAAGCCTTCAGCCTTTGCCTCGCCTTTCTTGCGTACTTCGGTGGCACTCTCGCCAGCACGAGCTGCGGTCTGCCGGAAAACGCGACCAGCATCGAGGTCACGGCTCTAGTTGGGAAGAACGGTGTCTCTGCGCTCGAGTGCTGGAAGATCCATCCCGACTTCGCTATCTCTCCACAGCCCGGGACAGTCGGAGCAAGGGTTCAGTCCATCGGAAATATATCAGGGGCAACCGTTGTGTTCTTTGACGAGAAGAACGTCACTTTCGCCGGCTTGCACCCAGCTCCTGCCCCTCAGTGCGTTGTTCATCTGTGTGCGGCCTACTCGATTTGCTAACTACAATTAACTTGTTAACTATATAGATGGGTTGTATTCATTTCTGGAGGTGGATATGTGCAGCTCCCTGCAAACGGCGAGGTTCTTCCAATCAAAACAGGCGACATAACACTGTGGGCATTGGCGCATATTTACCGAGTGAATGTCGAGAATATATCATGAAGCATATTTCTTATATTCTTTTCCATATTCCCTCCGAAAATACCAAGAAGGTTTTTCAAAATATTCTATTCGTCTTTCTTTCCAATATGATCAGGCATATTTTGAATAAATATAGATAATTTGCCTGTATCACACAAAGAGAATATTGTGATCAGTGACATACCAAGCTGATCAGATTTAACTTATAGGGTATATACATTTGCCTTGGCAGGATACTAATTACATGAAAGCAATGAAAGATGTAACTATTATACAGTGTACCAAGAAGGCTTACAAACAATAGTAGGAATGAAATCATGTAACATACGCTTGAGGCCCATCGACATGAAAACGAGAGTTGTCGCCACAGCTGCTAAATAACACTGGTAAGTGGAACATGCATTCTGAATCCTGTCGCACGCAAGCATGATCGTCCCAGAGTAGGAACCCGTGGAATGGAATATAGACAAGAAGGCAAAGAAATGCTGGCCCAAGTGTTGGAGGGAAACATGGGTCTGAGGAGATATAGTTGGTGAATGCTTGTGGCAAAGGGCAGAGCAGATGATCGAGTGGAGGCTCCCTAGGCAGAATACTCGGGCCTTAGAGCAGTGAAGATAATTAGAGCATAACGTGGACTGGGAACTTTGCAGCCTACCCCCATAAGAATACCACCCTGCCCCACATGTCTTCAGCGCAGCGCTCCTTCCACTTCGTCCCACTATCTAGATCGTGATGTTGAAATGACAGTGTTGCAGTGTAGGAGGTAGGAAAGGCATGAATGCCTCCTAGGTATTGTTGAGTACCAAAAGCATCAAACACTCTGGCGGTAAAGTGAGGCATTGGGCAGGTTGTCGAACCTCCTGCAATCGCACTGGATTCAAACGGTCAAACAATCAGAAAAAGGAGAGAAAAGGTCACTCACCGAGTGCAGATCATGGCAATTTCATGTACGCTGTCGTCATGGATTGAGCGGATGTCCTGAACAACAGACTCTGTGGTGAATGCACGTCTGATCGCCGATTCCAAGCACGATGCATCATATCTAGTCACCACAGTCTGGTCAGCCAGAACATAAATCCAGAAACAAATTCTGTTCATGGTCATTGGTAGGAGGTGGAGACTGGTCGGATGTGTAAGTAAGAGACTGGGTTGTCTTGATGGATTATTCCCGCACTCACCTGAGAATTGACCAGAGTTTGATCTTCCTCATTGATTTGAGGCTCCATTACGGCTCTGCACCGGATACTCCTTCCATGTCCATGTCCAGCACCTCCTCCAAGTCACAATCGCAAGAAAGACCGTTGGGCTGATTGCCAGTAGCTGGGGCAGATTGGATGGAGAAGGTTGCAAGCACTATGAAGAGCAGGAATGTCTAGTGAGTCTCCCGCCGTCATTCCGTTTGTGTATAAGCATTGACCATGGGACAGGGAGAGTTCAGGGGAATTAAGGCTACGGAAGAGTGAGGACTGACCGGGCAGAACTGACACTCTATTCACCTTTGTCACACATTGTTGGCACCTCGTTCGCAACCAATTCGATTTGAATATCCATTCCCTGACAGAAGTTCGAATCTGTCGTCTCTCTGGCTCTCCACCTTCCATAAGCTCCACAACCCTCACCACCTTCAACCACTCAATGACCCTTGGCTTCAGTTCCCTGTCCTCTTCGCCCTCTGCCTCTGAGCTGATCCTGACAGCTTAGGAGTGGTGCTAGACAACGCCAACGTACACACGGTTTACCATGTGTTGGAACTGCATTCATCCAGCACCCATCTAGCCCACCACCATCGGTGTCTAGGTGTCGAAGGGGCATCATACTCTGGATGCTAAAGTGAGCGGGCTATCGCTTCATGCTTCAAGACAAGTACTCACACAGCTTGAGTTCTCGTCTCCTGTCGCCACTCACAAACATCCCCAGCATGTCCTCCTTCAAGCTCATCCCATCCTATCCTATACCGTCCCTTTTCTCTATCATCGCCCATACCATACCTCTCTTCCCTAACCGTGGCTTATTGCGAAGGGCTTGCACATTCCAAGACCCTATTCACCTATCTTCACCTTGTCTCATTCATTAGTCAGAATCCAGGGTCGGAGAGTCCGCCTCGCTGCTGCATGCACATGTGGCTGATTCTCAGTTCTTACAGTGCTTCGTCCAATATCACTCATACCACTTGAGTTGTATTGGCAGACGAATGACAATTATGATGCTGTATCTGCAGGTGCAACGGACTGGCTCAACCACCTGGCTATAGACCCTCGTGCCCTGCCAAAGGGTTTTCTCAAGACAAAGCTCCTCAAGCCAGACTACTGCGATCGACGTACAAAGGGCCTTCACTGAAATATGCATGGATTGGCACGAATTAAGCTCATGTTTGAAGAACATCTGAGGGAAATTCGATCATACGCTGTCTAGCTGTGAGCAGAGCAGCTAAAGGAGTCCAAAAAATACACACCCGATCAATTGGGAGAACATGAATGAGACCATCGAAACCATCTCCGACCAGATGGGTCATAGCAAAATGGCAGATCACTTGGGCAAGACTGATGATATGGCACACCTGATGGTCAGGCATGCAAAGAAATCCTCCGAAAGATCCATATTGTCGAAACGGATCATCGAATTCAACACCAACAGGAATGAGCTCCCTCGTAATCATATACGTGTGCTTGTTTCCTTGTCTGGGGAGTGAATATTGGAAGATGTGGTCGACAATACCGGCGGACATGTTGGAGGTTGCATCAGAGAAAATGATGGAGCTGCTTTTGTAGGAAGTTGTGGACGATGCCCCGTAGCAAACGCCACCGACGGAGACCTCATCCAAAAACGTGACGGAATTTGGAATAGCATTCCCACCAGCAAAGTTATTGCAGAAAATTTGATAGTGATTTTCTTGAAGAGTCCAGCTCCGCCCTTTGCACGTTTTGGAGCAGCAGGAAGATCAGGATTAAGAATAGATGCAAGCCAAAAGCCTCGCGTGTCCTCAGAATTGATTTGCTCTATTGTTCCTGCAACATCATTGAGTAGACCCCTGGCCTCTTCGTCTTCCGCGAGTAAAGCGCGCAGATTTGCGTGGTGAACGGAAGTAGTTAAAAATGTGATTTCAAGCTCCCCTATGTAAAAATTAATAGCCAGCATGCAAGCAAAAATAAAATCAAAATGTACCAACTTTCTCATTGGTGTTAATGCGATGAAAGAAATTGATATATCTTTTGTAATGAGGGCCACTGTGTGAATGATTCAGACCAAACAAATCGAGCATGTTGTCAATATGGAGAGCAGCATGGTGGCTTGGCTTCAAGTGCTGATCAGGGTATAGATGGGTCAGACTGCGAAGATATCGCTGAATGTAGTGTTGATAAGTTTGGACCTGAGATTGGGAAGACAAATGCATGTTGGCAGTGCGTACCGCAGCAACAAGATCCATAAAGTGGTCAAGAAGTTCCTTTTTGCGACCTCGATCTCAGCCCCAGAGCCGAATCAAAGTGATTGGAAGATGGATGGTAGAAATTACCCGCCAATTGTCAGCACTGAGTTTGCCACGTTGTGTCGTACCCCAGTTAGGGGGGGCAGGTGTCACCCAGCTGGGAAGCTGGGTCTGCTTCATATCATCCCAAACAGTGTGTATCACTTCGCGGTCGAGGATGGCCCTGTTGGCAGATGGTACACGGTCTTCAACATAGCTTTCTAGCTGTTCCGAGAGATCAATATGATCATCAATCTAGATGTTGGCATTCGGCAAAATTCAACAAAACAGGTATAATATAGTACATACCAAGGACGTTAGGTAGTCAAATAAGGCTCGCTTCGCCAAGTGTTTAGTGAGATCGATCTCACTGTAATCCAAGCCTAGGAGGTCACAGATATAACGGAAGACAGGGGTGGATCCCTGAGCATAAGCCCTGGTGCGAGAAACTTCCCAGTCTTCCCTATCTACTAAGTGTCGGATAACTCGGCCCACTACTCCAAGATCGAGACCCTCCTGTGGAGGTAGAGGTGTATTTTGTGTTGGCATGACTGGCTCATCAGCAAGATCTTCGCCATCTAGCTCAGTGTCAGAGACAGAATCTATCTCAACGCCTTGATATGAGGGTCGCTGTCGCTGCCAGACAAGTCAGGAATGCATTAGTGAAATGACAGAATGACAAACCCAAGTGCAAATGTTCTTTGCGAGAACCCATTTGGTGCCAACCACCAACTGATTATCGGTCCCAAGAATGTTGTTATCGAGGCAGATAGTATAGAGAACTCGTTGAGGATGTCGGAGAAGTTCGGTTAGGAGAGTGGCCTGATCATTTTCTTCAATGGCCTTGACACATTTCCTGTGAGAACTGAGATGCGCTTTCATTGTGATACCTTTGTCAGCTTTTGGAACGGGGATTAAAGCTAGATCAATGTTCCCAGATTGATCTGGATCTATTTGGAACAAATTGCGGCAGTGGTTTTGAAGGAGGTTGAGGTCCAACGCATGCATGGAATCAACGACCGTGTGCAGAATGGGGTTCCAGTATGGGAGGTCTAGTAGAGGGCTCCATTTGACCCTGTAGGCATCAAAAATAATATCATGGGCTTTCTCATCCAGAGCGTCCCTCCACAACCTAGCGACACAGCGTATATGCTGCAGGTCCTTTGCAGGCCATTCTTGACGATCGAGGACTTCAAGATCATCAATGTCAAGGTCACAGAAGGTGCAAAAATGGTGTGACGTGGGAGCCCCAAGGCCAGT